ATAAATGCAAAGTAATGTTTTGGGGGAGTAGAAGGTAACTAGCACCTGAGAAGCACTATACTTTATAGTTAACATTTACATAGTACTTACTACATGGCAGACACTGTGCTAAATGCTTTACAATTACTATCTCATTTGACCTTCACAGCCACCTAGGGAGTTGAGTGCTATTATTATCCCCATTTTGCAGTTGAGGAAACTGAGGCAGATAGTGGTTAAGTGATTTACTCAGAGTCACATAGCAAGTAAGTGTTTGAGACTGGATTTGAACTCAGGTGTTCCTGACTCCAGGCTCAGGGCTCTATCCACTGGGTCACATTGCTTTGTGTAGAAGATGGCACTTGGACTAATCTTGGGAGGGAGCTAAGAATTCCACAAGGTGAAAGCGAGGAGAGGAAGCATTTCAGGCAAAGGGCAGAGATGAAAGATGGAATGTTAGGTACATGGATAATCAAATGGACCATTTTGGCCAGAATGTTGACCATGAAGAGCAGTATTATGAAATCAGCCTAGAAAGATAGATTGGAGCCCAACTGGGAAGAACTTTAGCTGTGAAGCCAAAAGTATCTATTTTCTCCCAAAGGTAATAGGGAATCACTGATGATTTTAGAGTAGGACTTTGACATTCACAGGTCACATTTGTCCTTTAGTAATATCAATTTGGCAGCTCTGTGAAAGATGCTTCTGAGGGGAGAAATTCAAGGCAGAGAGACAGATTAGGATGCTAGTACAGTAGTTCAGACCAGAGAAGATGAGGGCTTGAGCTAGTTGGTGGTTATAGGAGTGGAAATGGGAATGCAAGAGACTTTGTGGAGGTAGACTTAATAAGACTTAGCAATTGATTAGATCACCTCACAGTGATAAGCCTGGGTAACTAAGAGGAAGGTGATGCTCTCAAAAGACATAGTGAATTCAAGTAGACTTCAGAAGGGGGGAAAAAGATGTATTCCAATTTGGACATATTGTGTTTGACATGTCTATTGGCTGTCAAGGTGAAGATTTCCACCAGGCAGCTGGTGGTGCAGGATTGGAAAGAGATGGGGGCCAGATATGTAGATTTGGGAGTCATACACATAAGGATAACTAATATACTGAGGCTGCAGCTAGGTGGCGCTGCAGTGGATAGAGTGTGGGCCTGAAGTCAGGAAGACTCATCTTCCTAAATTCAAATCTGGCCTCAGACACTTACTAGTTGTGTGACCCTGGGTAAAGTCACTTAATCCTGTTTGCCTCAGTTTCCTCATCTGTAAAATGAGCTGGAGAAGAAAATGGCAAAACCATTCCAGTATCTTTGCCAAGAAAACCCCAAATGGGGTCATGAAGAATCAGGCACAAATGAAACAACTCAACAACAACAAATGAGATTAACCAAAATGTCAAGAGCAAAGAGGAGAGGCCCCAGTGAGAGTCCTGGTATATACCTACTCACAGAAGAAAAAAATGGATGATGATCCAGCAAAAGAGAATGAGAAGGAATTGTCAAGACAGAAGGGAAGAAAACCAAGAGAGAATAATGTCACAAAAATGCAGACAGGAGAAAATATCCAGGAAGAGGTGATGGTCAATAATGTCAAACACTGTAAAGAATTCAAGAGTAATGAGAGTTGATGAATACTGATTGATTTAGCAATTAAGGTATCCTTGATAACCTTGGGGAAAGCAATTACAGTTGAATGGTGGGCTCAGAAATAGAAATGTACGGGTCTGAGAAATAAACTAGAGGCGAAGACATGGAAACAACAAGGGTAGCTGTGCAACTGTCTTCTAGGATGACGAAGACATAGAAATTAATTGACTTGTTGAAGGTCACACAGCTAGTAAATGTCTAGGGAAGGATTCAAACCTGGATCTTCCTGACTGCAAGGCCAGTTTCTATCCACCATATCATCTAGCTGCTCTAGGAGTCTGATGGTGAAATAGAAAAGAGACATTAGACAAAAACTTAAGAGAAAAGAAGAGTTATATTACTATTTTTTTTAATAAATGGGAGAGATCTTGTTATGTCTATAGGCATTAGGGAAGGATTCTGTAGATCCAGAAGAGGCTGAAGGCTCTCAGATTCAAAAAGTCATTAAATTCTACTGAAATGGAAAGTAGGGTCACTTCTGAAATATAATGCATATCACAAATTGAAACTGTTTAGAAATTCCTACTCCAATTCTGTGTTACCAATATTCCTTATTTGCCCTATTATCTTAAAATGACTTCTCTTATATTTGTATCTCTTTATAAAAAATGATCAACACTATTAACCATGCAATGTTTTTATTGATTTTTAACATCCCCATAATCATCTTCAAGTTACCTACCAACAGTGAAAATAGGTTTTCTGTAGGGCATCAGGCCAAAACTGTACTGAAAAACTCCTCTGGCATGAAATAATGGCAAAGTAAAGCCCATTTTCTGATACAGTTTCTCCTGGACAGCTCTGAGCCACGAGCCTTCAGGATTGTTGACTTGTTTAAACAATTCATTCTCACCAAAAGAAAACACAGGAACCAAATAAGCCCTGTAAAACAAATATAAGAATTCAGAAGAGAGCTGAAATAAAATTTTTAAAAAAACTTTTTAAAAAGGAAAGAAATATAAAAATGTCAACCTGTCCAGTTGCCTTGAAATAAAAATCAATACACCTAAATTTTATGATAATGCTGTCCTTTTGGTCCTCAGCATGGTATTGTCTTATAGATAAAATTTCCCAAGGTTCTTTTGGGATTTTGTTCAGTAGGTTACTTTGAACGGGGTCTACATCAGTCCAGTTTTATATTTAAATGCCACTCTAGGGGGAGCTAGATTATATTAAAGTTCCAATGTATTTTTCATAGAAGAATGAGGATAGCTAACATTTATAGAGTACTTTACTGATATTATCCAATCTGATTCTAAAAATAAAACAAAAACAAAACAAAAAAACCCTGTGAAATAGGTTCTAGAAGTATCACTATCTTCATTGTATAGCTAGGGAAACTGAGCCTCGGAAAAGTGAAATCACATGTCTATGGTCACATAGCTATTTTGTTGTTTGTCCCTTGTTCTGGAAGAGGACCAATGACATCAGGAGGGTGATGTCTTGACTTGCAAATGAATTGGACTTGTGTGAGGCAGGGCTGTGCAAAGTCATCAGCCTTGCTCTCTCCTCCAGTCATCAAAGTCCTGTGGCAAAACATATGTCAAGATAACTGGTGATGGCCCTCGATGTAGTGGGAAACCTTGACCTTTTAAAGCTAAGGTCTTTCCCAAGTCTCAGTTTATCTGAGCCAGTATCCATTCAGAGATTAAAGGCTAGGTAAGAACTGAGGCAAAAGGGGGAAGCTAGGTGGCACAGTGGATGGAGCACTGGCCCTAGAGTCAGGAGGACCTGGGTTCAAATCCAACCTCAGACACTTGACACTTCCTAGCTGTGTGACCTTGGGCAAGTCACTTAACCCCAATTGTCTTGCAAAAAAAAAAAGAATTGAGGCAAAAGATAGCCTAGTTTGCCTTCACAAAAGAATCAATCAGGGGAAAATCCTCAGAGATAGTTATTATGTGCCAGACATAAGATTCAGACCCAGGTCTTGCTGCCCAAAACTAGGGTTCTGTCTAATACACCAATACTGCCTCTGTTCTTAGAACTTACATGATCATTAGTATATGTACCTATATAGACATCCTGTACAAGTGTGATTTCAAATAACAAAGTACATTTGGAAATGGTGTCCCAACAGAAAGGTGCAAAGTTCCCACTCACCAAATATGTACTTGTCCATTACAAACAGACCGGACTGGATCAGTGAGATTTAAGGACCCCCTCTCATAAAAGCTTCTCTAGTCAGACTGACATGTGGCAGAACACTCCCATCAGGGTCAACAGAATGGACAAGCTACCTACCCATGTGTCAAAGCCATTTTAATAAACCCCTTTCTTTGGCTGACAAACAGAGTAAAACTTCCAGGATGTGCAACCAGTGACTCTTCTGCTCCCCCAAGCACAATGACTGAAATGTTTCCACCTTTCTTCTTGCTTAGCACATGAGATACACATTGTTTGGAAACCGAGACTGCTCCTTGGTAAATAAAATAAAATAAAATAATTTTATTTTAAGGTACTGTTGTGGTACTAGTATGCCTTAAACCCAATTTTCTCCATTGCCCCTTTTAAGGAATGCCTTGGTTGTTGTTGTTGTTGTTTTTTTTTTCATTTAAAATATTTGTAAAAAAAATTTTGATAGAATACAACTAACTTGCTGTAACTAATTACATAAAAATATTAAAACAAATTTTGGAAGATTAGTTAAATCCTAAGGGCAGTAAATGCCATTTTTAGGATATCAATGCAGGCATTTGCAGAACTTTGATGGTTCCTCACTTACATATATAAAATATTGTCTCAAATAAAAATGGAGTAGTGAGTCCATTGGTGATGCACTGTTACAACATTGACCATACAACACACTGCTGTTACCACAAGAAAGGGACTGTAACAGAAATGTGGACAACGGTATGAGGAATTCTCTGGTACATGATTTCAGCAAATCAAGAAGTATAAAAAAGTAGGGACATTGCTACTTCTTACTCTTTACAACCTTTCCCCTAATTCTGTGGCCAGTGCAAAGCAGAAGCTCTGACACGGGGAGAACACATGGTTACAGTGATCAAGGTCCACAAGTGGCTTCTCCATCATGTGGGTCTTGGTGCTAAGAGTCTGAAGGTCTCAGTCTGCAGGACACCAGTACTTCAATGACTGGTGGTGACCTAACACTTAAGGTTCAACTTAGCTGTAGAGGATCATAGACTCAGAAATGGAAGAGATCTTACAGGTCATATAGTCTGACCCCATCATTTAACGGATGAGAGAGCTAAGGTGTAGAGAACCCGACCAAGGTTATGAACTCGAGCCTCAAACACCAAATCTAGTATAATATTCCCATTCCTTCATGCCCAAGTGAGAAGCAGGGGTCTTGTCAACTATTTAACATCATATAAGATTTAGTATCACTTAAACAACTTAAGTTATCTTATTTATCTTTTTCTAACCTTCTCCATAATCTAGCACTGCACTTTGTACACACAATGAGTGCTAACCACAAGTTAAGCTAATGGGGAATCTGTGGCATTGAGGCCGCATGTGGCCTTCTAGGTCCTCAAGTGCAGCCTTTTGAATCCAAACTTGGATTCCATCAAAGGGCCATACTAGAGGCCACAGGTTTCCCACCTTTAAAATGTGTCAAAAATCATTCATATGGATACCAATGGATATAGATCCTTTGGGTAAGATACTTCTTATTGCCTGCATGACCGTTCTCTTAGGTATTGCTTCCCTGTGAAAAATTGTGTGCATTGGGCTGCACCACAAGCTGCTGAGGTCTAGTTACATTGCATACCAAAGGGCTTAATGATTGAGTCACAATGTCAGTGACAACTTCACCCGATACTACCTTTTGAGTCCTTATTTCTTCTCCCAGACATACCTAAGTTGGAATCTTGGCAAAGGTCATGGTACTCTTTCACATGTGCTTTTATATCAGCACAACGACTTGTATTTTTAAAGAAAAATTAATTTAATTTTTATACAAGATTCAGGTAAACTAAAGCATATTTTAAATGGCACTAAAACATCTAGACTGAATTTGACTAAGATGTGTAGGTTGATGGAAATTTAGGCTCTGTTATTAAGCAGGCCTCTTTTTGGGGGATTGGAAGATATGTAGAATGTGTTACTATGAAAGAAATGACCTTCCTCCCTTGGTATAAATTAAATCTGTTGTGATTATTGTATGATCAAGGCATTTTAGTATTGTTAAACTATAAAGATAATATTCTGGTAGACTATTCCTTGAGCTTATGCCTATATGATTTCAGTGGAATGGACAACCTAAGCTGGGTTAGGTTTGATTATTCAGTAACTCATCAGTCATCTCTAATCTGCAAATAACCTAAAGATTGGTCTTCTGTTCAAGGGACTGCTTGGGTAGCCCCAGAAAGTCTTTGAAATAAGAAGAAATAAGGAAGCTGTTTCTAGCTATCAGAGGAAACAGATCATGATGCTGACAGGCTCTAGGGGAAGTCAGAATCCTCCACTAAGGACACAAAGCTTCTTATGAAGCCCGTGATGTTAAATTAGAATGATAGTTAAGACAACCAGGCTTCACTGAAAGATAGAATCAGCCTTAACTATTGGCCAGTGGAATGCTTCAGAAGAAGGAGAAATGGTTCCTGGCTAGGGTAGGACCTGCAGCGATTCAGAGTTCTAGGTTCAAGTATCCATATATGAGGGATGTCATTGAAGACTTTATCAATCAGTGAAGGAAGTTTCTGGAAGAGGTCTCCTCCCAAGAAAATATAAACCAGACAGACTGAAAAAATGTACTTAATTATAGTTGTGGTTTCCCTGAATAGCGCATAAGGTCTTTGAAGGCAGGGGCTGTATCTGAACCCCCAGTACTTAGCACATAGTAGGCACTTAATAAATGTTTGCTGATTGACGGACCCGTTGCCTGTCACCAATACAGGGAAAAGTGTTCCAGCCTTCACTTACCACTGCTCATGAGGTACTCTCTGAAGAAAGGACATCTGAACCAATAGGGCAGGGTGTGAAGATATGCGGTAAAGCCTGGAAACAGTTCCTTGAAATTCGAATGATTTGTACAAAAGTTTCCAAATGCCCCAGCAACAAGCACTCCATGGGGATGAAATCCAAATATATAGTTGTGACTTGGATCCAAATCCACTGTTTTGATGAGCTATAGAGCATTCAAATGGAAGCAAAGATACCGTAGCCCCCAACACCCCCACCACCTTATTAGTCGCCAGTCCCAAATAGGAAGAAGTGTTTAATTCTTAAAGGAATGAAGGCTAAGAAGAAAAAGGAGAAGGGACTTGGGAATCAGAGAATCTGAGAATGAATCTTGGCTCTGCTATTCAACTACCTGTATGAGCCTTGGCCAGTAACTTCCCTTTGTCTGGACCTTACCTTCCTCATCTGTTAAATGAGGGGGTTGGATGAGATGACCTCTAATGTCCCTTTCAGCTCTAAATTGCTATGAAATCTGAGAAGAGACCTCAAAATTGACTTCAAAAGTAAAAAATTAAAGAGCTTCATATAAATATGTGTTAGGTGAATTGTTTTACAGTCCTGTATGGCTCTTCATGACCCCATTTGGGGTTTGCTTGGAGGAGATACTGGAACGGTTTGCCATTTCCTTTTCCAGGTCATTTTACAGATGAGGAAACTGAGGCAAACAGGGTTAAATGACTTGCCCAGAGTCACACAGCTAGTGAGTGTCTGAGGCTGGATTTGAACTCAGGAATATGAGTCTTCTTGACTCCAGGCCTGGAGCTCCATCCACTGCACCATCTAGCTGCCCTATAAATATGAACACATAATATATATTTATTCTGGAGGTGAGGGGAATCCTGTGATTTCATCTGCTCAGGGACTCAGAGGCATGGAAACTGCTTTCTAAGAGATCTGTAGCTGATCTGGGGCACTGAGAGTTAAGCATGTGTCAGAAGCTTGAACCCAGGACATTTAGAGCTATGAGGGAGGGACCTCAGAGGTGACCAAAACCAACCCTTAATTTTACAGATGAGGAAATTGAAATTTAGAGAGGTTAACTGCCTTGTTCAAGGTCCCACAGGCAGTAAGTGATGGAGGCAGGGTTTGAACCTGGGCCTTCCCGACTCCCGATCCAGTGGTTTTTTCATTGTAACATGCTTGGCCCTTTATCCTCTACAGCAGAAGTATCAACCACAAAGCCCCTTGTTGTGCTCCACAACACCAATATTTAGCAAAATAAGGAAAAACACAATATAACATAGGTAATGTTGCATGTAAAAGCTAAGCCAATATGTGGCCCTCGGGGATCTTTATGTACAAATAAGTGGTCTCTATCTCTATTTGAGTTTGACATGACTCCCTACTGACTACACTGCCTTTCCATTATTCATATTTAGCCTTCTAAATTTTGGCACCAGCAGATTCAATTTAGTAACAGGTTTGCCAAATTATGTGCTTCAGAAACGGAAGAATATAGGAACTTTTATCTGACAGGGATATTAAAAGGTCAAATTCAACTTCCTTATTTTGTAGATAAGGAAATAAAGGCCCATAGAGATAAAGTGACTTGCCTGGGGATATTCAGATGAAAAGATTAGAAATTATCTTGTCTTAAAATGGAAAAGTTCTAAAGACAAGTAGAAAAACCGCTCTCCTAGTCTTGTCCCATCTCAAATCCTCTAACAAATAATATATTTTACTCACCTGCATTGGAAAATATTCCCTAAAGTACTTCCAAACAGTCCAATTTCTGATCCAGTCAAACCTTCTGCCTCCTGAGTCTGGGGTCTTCCAGTCAAAGTAGAGCCATGTCAAATAGGGGACATAGAGGAACCAGTAGTTTTTATAAAGCAGTATCACAAAGAGTCCACAACACAGCTGTCCTGCAGGCAAAAGAGAACCAGGAATTAGGATTAGTCAGTACTAGTTATGATGGCACCTAGCAAGATGCATATTAGGACCTCAATTTGATCAGCTGAATTCAATTAGCCATGATCCTTCCTATTCCACTGAAGGGTTGTTTGGAAGTTGAAGGGAAAATAGGTTGGTTGTTCTTAGATTTTGTTTCAGGGAGGGGTGAAGGGGAGAAAGCATAATTTGCCTCAATGACCAAAGCCTCCTCCCTCCTTCAAATGTTTTCCTGACTATTTTGACCAAGCAAATATAAGTAAAGTGCAATCTATTCTTGCACACAATTCCTACCCTATTATTTTGGTGTGAAGGTGAACCTGACTTCTCTACAGCTATGGCTGTGCTCAAGGAGAAAGTTGATTCTATAGAGTCATGAAACAGATAATACCGAAAAGAGCTCAATCCCCTTCCACCTACACAGTGATCTTTATTCTATAACCAATGAGTTGATACACTACTGCTGAAATCAAACCATATCCATTTGACATTCTCACTGCAAATGATGCAAGACAGAAGGTGGTTGCTGTTCAGTTGTTCAATCATGTCTGAATCTTCATGACCCCATCATGGGATTTTCTTGGCAAAGATACTGGAGTAGTTTGCCATTTCCTTCTCTAGGATATCTTCATTTTACAGATGAGGAATGGAGGCAAACAAGGGTTAAGTGATTTGTCCAGGGTCACACAGCTAGTAAACCTCTGAAGCCATATATGAACTTAGTTTCTGATTCCAGATCCAGCACTTTATCCACTGTACCACCCAGCTGCCCCAGACCAAAGGGACTTGCAAATAAATGAAAACATGGCTCAGACTTTCCAGCCCCTCCCCTAGATACCTTGACTTATCCTACTCAGGTATGTAAGGGATTCTTCAATATTGTAAGAGATAATTAGGGAGAAATTAGGGTGTTTTATCAACTCCTAAATAAGTTAGGAATGAGTATTTCCTCTAGTAGGGGATATTCCTCTCTGGTTGAGGTGTATGGAATGTTCAGGAGGACTAGTGCCTCTGGTGTGAGGGCTTGCTGAGCCCTTTTTAGGGCTACCCATCCACTTTTGGTGTACAACTGGTCACCCAACTCTCACCTGAGGCTCCAAGAAGCTTTAGCATGCTCAGTGGCCACACCCTAGGAAACTGTCTCGGCAGATAGGTTAAACCAGGTTGAGGGTAGCCAACAGTCCTCAACCTGTTGGTGAGTTAGGGGGATATCTACCCCAAGCATATGAAGACTTTCCCTAGCACATTGGGCAGATAAGAATAATTTGCTCCAAAAGCCATGAGGTCAGGTGAAGTGGGCACTGTGGTGTACTTAATGCTTGGTCAGACATCAAAGACACCAAGGTCATCTACTGCCTCCTGGGCCATTACCAGGCATCCTGACTTTTGTCTTGCCACTAGACTGATGACTTTGTGCAATTCTGCCTCGCTTAAATCCAATTCAGTAGGAAATCTAGACATCACCCTTGATGTCCTTGGTCCTCTTCAAAAACGAAGGACAAACAACTCAGCTTCCCTTCTAGTATCAGAGAACAATAGGACATCAAGATGTGTAGTCACTGTATCTAAATTTGGAGCTGAAGTTGTAGGTCAACAGGGTCCTGCTTTCTGAGCAAGTTTTTGTGAGGAAGAGGTTGGTCAGAGTAGCAACAAATGGTGAATTCAAACTAAAACTCTGGTAGAGCTGCCTCTGTGAACTAACTCTCGAGGCCTTGTTTGGTGGCAGCAAAGACTGTGTCTGACTAATAATGGAGAAAGTTGTGGCCTTGCTAGAGAGCAGCGTCTGGTGTTCTCCAGTGAAGGTCACTCTAAACCCTGGAAGATCCATGCTTGGTGATACCTGCTGGCACCAGGAAGAGGATCCTTTCTTGTAAGGGACTTAGAATCTATTAAGATCAGGTGTTCTTAACCTGAGGTTCAGGGAGTCTGTGAACCTGGATGGGAAAAAATCATATCTTCATTTCAATATAATTGGTTTCCTTTGTATTTTATTTTATGTATTTAAAAATTATTTTCTTTCTGAGAAGAGGCCCATTGGTCTCACCAGACTGCCAGAGGGGTCCATGACACAGAAAAGGTTAAGAATCCCAATGTAGAACTTTGGGAATGGGTGTCATTCTGTTTTCTAAACACTCTTTAGGGTTCTATTTTGTTTGCTTCATTATGTCCTTATTTTCTCCTTCCTTGACTTTATGATAGGACAAATAACAAGAAGGATCATAGAATTGGAAAAAGAAACAACCTTACAGGCCTTCCAGTTCAATTTCCTCATTTTATAGTTGAGGAAACTGAGGCACAGAGAGGTTAGTTGGTTTGCCCAAGGTGATATAGCTTAGAACTCTGCTTCTAATTCCAAGTCAAGTGTCCTGTACACTACACCTGCCTGCTGGCAGGGCCACAAAACTCCTGGCCCAGTGCAGGCTGAACCAGATTAAAGTGTAATTGGGAAATGCTTAACAAAATAAATAAAAATACAATGCAACACAGATAATGTTAATTTGTGGTTTTCTAAATCAATATTCCACTAGAGGGTTCCATTTCTATTTGGACACTACTGTACCACACCACAATGTTTCTCAGTGCCATAATACTTTTAAGGGAAACCTGTGTCAAGGTACAGAGAGCTACAAACCAGAGAACTGAGAATACCCCAAAATACACCTGGACCCTTCTTGTTGCCACAGCCTCTAACATAGGAGTTACAATTCTAGGGAGGAAATGATTGGCTCCTGGTGACAGAGTCATTGCACAATCAGCTGCTTCTTTGCAGTCAGACCATCAACTAGCTAGAGTAAAACATTAAAATGCCAAATGAAAAGAAAGGATAAGTATGAGACAATGTGACATGTGATTACAGCAGCTTTCAATAAACCTGATGGCTCTGAAAAACAATGGGTAACAAAAAAAGTAAAGCCTTTGAAAAATCACCATTTCTTAGAGAAGATTAACCATTGAGAAACAGTCACCAGAACAAAGAGGCTGAAAGAGCCTATAAACCACCACTAGCACTCAGTCTTCTTGGCAAGTGGGGAGATAAGGTGGCCAAAGGTAGCACCAGTTTAAAGAACAAACTCACATGCAAAATTTTACAGAGGAATATGGAAAACTATAGACAATATTCTCTTACAAAACCATGAAGAGCAATTGAAAGGGAAATGAGCTTGCAGGAAGTATGATCTAAGATCCTGATGAACTGAGATCATACTAAGAGAGTTTGTAGATGAAGCTGGAAGTGTACAACAAAAAAAAGTATAGAATGGAAAATATTTGTTGGTGTTTCTACAGTGATCTACGTTCATTTCTGAATCTCATCAACTGTGAGAGCTCTCTCTCTAAAGCCACCCTTGCATTTGACCATTGTTGTCCAAGATCTCTCCTTCATTTCTCAGCCATCTCCTTGACAAAGCTTTATATATTCATCTTTACTTTCTCTCCTGTTGCTCAGTCCTCAACCCTTTGCAGTCTGGCTTCCAACTCAACAACTTTACTGAATCTCCTTCAAAGTTCCCAACAATCTCTTAAATGTCAAATCTAATCATATTTGCTCAGTCTTCATCCTTCTCAATCTTACTGCTATTGATCACCCTGTCCTCCTGGATACTCGCTCCTCTTTGAGCTTTCATGACATGAATATTTCCTGTGTCTTCCTTTTGCCTAACTGTCCCCTCTTAGTCCTCTGTATTGGTTCCTCATTCAGATTATGTGCCCTAACTATTGGTGTTCTCCAAGGTTCCAAGGTAGGCCCTCTACTCCCTCTACACCCTCTGTCTTGGTAACCTCACCAGTTCCCATAGGTATAAGTATATGTCTCTGCAGATGACTCTAAAATCTATATAGCCTCTCTCTCTCTCTGTCTCTGTCTGTCTGTCTGTCTGTCTCTCTCATACACACACACACATATACACACACACACCTTTAGTCATTTTGACAAGCTTTCTCTAAAATGTGCCCAATTGCCAAACAAACAAAAACTCACCATAAAGCTGTTATCGTGACAGGTCCACCAAAGACACAAACCCAGAAGAGAATGACCCCAAAACATCTACAAGGAAAGTCCTCAGGAATGTATAACTTTGGAACAAATTCAACTAGAATTCCTAGAAGAGACACCAGATGAGTTTGGGAAAAAAAGAATTTTAAAATGCTTTTGTTAATTAAATGAGAGCACTAGAAGAACAAATTGGAAAAGAAATTAGAGTTATGGAAGGAAGGATTGGAAAGAGAATCAACAGTTTGGCCTAAGTGTTACAAAAATTTCCCAAACAACAAACTCCCTGAAAATTAGAATGGACCAAATAGAGGCTAATGAAATATTAAAATGAAGTAAAAAGAATGGGGGAAAACAGTACAAAATGTAAGTTATCTCATAGCAAGAAACAATTATTATAAAAAATAAGAAAAAAACCAACTGATATGAAAAGCAGATCAAGGAGAGATAATTTAAAAATCATCGTACTACCTGAAAGCCATGACCAAAGAGAGAGCACAAGACAAAGAGACAGAGACACAGAGAGGCAGAGAGACACAGAGAGAGAGAACCTAAACTAACCCACTTAAGCCTGAAATCATAAAAGAAAACAGCTCAGATCTCATAGAACCAGAAATTTGCTGAAAGGCTCTATAAAAGGAAAAATCCCAGAAATATTATAGCCAAAATCCAGATTGTTTAGACCGAATAAAAAATAATGCAAACAGCCAGAAAGAAGGAATTCAAGGATTAAGGAACTATAGTCAGAATCACACATGATTTAGAAGTCACTACTATAAAGGAATGTTGAGTTTGGAATATGATATTCTAGAAGATGAAGGATATAGACTTACAACCATGAAAAAATCATCCAGCAAAATGGAGTATAATCTTACCGGGGAAAATGGACCTGTAGTAAAAATAAAGGACCTCAAAACTTTCCTGATGAAAAGTCCAGAATTATGTAGAAACTTAGAAGCGCAAACATGGGAGTCAAGAGAAAGATAA